AAACTGTTCTCTATCAAATGGAGACTGTTTTTAGAAACTAGGAAGAACTTCTGAGTATGCCGTTGGATATATTGCCATATACTATAATAAATATAACTATCTTTTTCTATTTAAATAGGCTGCTTGATTTGGAATGGTAAATAACAGATGGCAATAATATTTGAAGAAGAATTTGATCATTGACCATATTGATTTGAAAGTTATACGTCGTTGATCATTGACTGCTGCTTTTTCTTGATTATCTTGTGTTGATAGTACATTAAATTGAGGTACTTCTTCATTATCAGTTGTCGGTCCGTAAACTGTTTTTACAATCATAGTCATGAATGCAAAAAAAATTCGTTGTACAAAATTGATTCGATGAATAAATATCTTGAGACGAGTAATTAAACTTTTTTCATTCGTTTTTATTTGTAAACGATGTTTATCTATTATTTTTTCAATAAAATTATCAATATTTGGATATTTTGGATCATATTTTTGTCGAATTCGTTCATGATAATCGAAAATAATTCGAAATCGATTATCATCAAAAAAGCAAGGTACATGTTGAAGTGGTTTTATAAGTGAACAAAATGTTAAATCAACTGCTGAGAATTGTTCACCAACAAGATAATCATGTGTACGCAAACGTTCTCCAATATCTAAAAGAATCTGTTCTGTTCTTTCTCTTAATTGTTCTTCACGAATACGATGAAGTCGATATCGAGCAATCATAAAACAAGCAATAAATGGCCTAAATAAACGCGAACGAATAACATCTGGATTATGTGCCCATGAATACTTCTCACCGAGTAGAATTGACATTAGACTTGACTTTTCTTTAAGAATTTGAACATATGCAATACGACGTGTGTAAAGACCTAATTCAGAATCAAGACGTAAACATGTATCAAATACTTGTTGACATTGTTCAGATGAGGATGGAAATAAGGATAAAGACGATTGAGGATATTGAGTATTTAAATAGAGTAAAATTGGTGTTGAATCACATCGAAATGGATTATCATTATTATTGGGATCTTCAAGAATTGGCATTAGTTTACGTATTGTTTTAGGTGCTCGTTCTAAACCTTTCGTTTTTCCGTATGGATTATAATTAATTGCATCGTATGGAATCTCTTTCAAATCCAATGCCCAACGAACCTTATCACAGTAATGAGACCATGGTATTTGATAGAAACGAAGATGTTTTATCATCTTTTAAAAATGTTCTTTCTGAAAAAAAAAAAAAAACCTCAATAGTTATAGAACAATAAATCTCACAGTAGTAGTACGTATATCAATGTAGAACTATCACAACCAAATGTTTCAATCTGAAACAAAGTACAAATAGGTACTTTGTATTTTCATTGACAAAGTATTTGTTGATATTTTGTTCGAAGTAACACAGTAACTTAAAGTTCTATAGTAAAGACAAACTTTTTATTATTCGCAGGAAAACAATATAAAAAAAATAACATACAGATAATAACAAAAACATGTACATACACTCATTCAGCTATATTTAAAAAATGCTTCTCTCGATTCATTTTTAATTATCATATGTATTTTAGAAATACAAAAGTATCGTGATAGTACTTTGCAAAGTAAAAAAAAAATGCATTGCTTATTTGTTACGATTTAATTTTGTTCAAATATTCTATTTCTAGATGAACCTATGAAATATGTTTGGCTTGTTTTAGATTTCTAATCTTATTTCTTATATATATTTCTTTTCGAACGTTTTGAATTGAATCAACTATATGATCTTACAACCGATGTATTAATATGTACACGAACAATAATTATCATTTTCATTCTAGTTTTTTTTCTTCTTCTTGTATTTCTAAAATACATATGATAATTAAAAATGAATNAATATGAATCTATTGCTCGTGCTAATATTCGTTCACAACAACAAGTTTGTTCACCAACAAATCATCGTCTTCTTTTACAATATCCAAATAATAAGCATTATCAACATTCAGATTTAGTACAATATGGTAGTCCAACATTTTCAACATCTTCATCATCTCGTGAACAACAATCAATGACAATGAATTTTAATAGTACAATTACACCAAAATCACCATTAAATGGATACAATAATATTGAACCATCACCAAGACTAAATATTCATTCACCAATGATTACTCGACAAGCTCCACCACCACCACCTCCACCTCCTCCACCATTATTATCACAATTTGAACCAAATCATAATTCAATACAATATCCTCCTATGAAACAAATAATTGTTAGACCATCAGCTACTCCTCCACCACCGCCACCACCTCCACCGCTGCCACCACCAGCACCACCTTTACCAGTAAATATGGGTATGCCAACACTTGCAACTATTTCCGAAATTGATAATTTACCTCCACCACCGGCTGATTTTATTGAACAATCAGCATCTCCACCCCCTCCTCCTCCTCCACCACCACCTCCACCTCCATTGCCATCAAATATTCCACCAGCACCACCTTTACCGAATTCTACTATTCAATCACTTGCCATGCGGCCTTCGCCGGTCAGTACACCACCAACAAAAAAACCTAATTCAGATAGTAATACAATATCATTATCTCAACGTGATGATGTTTCTGTTACATCAGAAACTTCGATTCAAGACCAACGACCACTCATTATGCGTGATCTTCATTCTGATTTATTGGAAGAAATTAAAAAAGGTACATCAATTTTTTCTAGTTTTTATTTTTTTTCTTATTTAATTTTTCTTTTGTGTTCAGGTATTCAATTGAATAATCGTAAACGAGAAGAAGAAAAGAAAGCGGCTGTAACAACAAAAACAAGTGCTCTCAATGTTATGGCAATTATGGAACAAGCAGCAAAATATCGTCGAGATAAGATCCGTCCACAATCAGAATCTGAGAATGATGATGAATCATCACGATGGGATGATAGTGACTAAATACTCTCTCTCTCTCTTCAGATAATATTACTTTAATTTTCTTATATTCTCTATTATTGTACAGATAGTGCATGTTGTCTGACTTTCTCTCTCTAAATTGATGACGTGCAATAAATTTTTCTTTTTCAAAATGAATAATAAAAAAAAAACAGCTGATATTATTCCATACTGTATAAGTCTGCGTTTGAAAAGAAAACTATACACCGATGATAAAAGGAATATGTTTTTCTATGCTACATTATCTACCATAAATTTTCCATCATTGAATACTCGATAAATTACTTCATAGTTGTATATTCAGCATATTAGCCAATAAGAATTTCAATTGTTGGAAAAGTATCCTATGGTGAATAATAGAAACTTAAGAGATTGATCTGAATTATTTTTTTGTGTATTTAAATAAATCATCTATAATATATTATTTAGCTGTTCTTTAACATGTTTATTAAATACTAAATACAATGTTTCAGTAAGATTTCATACAATCATATGATAGAAATCCAATTTCTATACGAGATTAATAAATAAAGTGCAGCATGCATGATAAATATCGAAATATATATAGAACAAAAAAAAACTTCAGCTATCAAAGACATGACAGTTGACAGGAAAATATCGAACTACAATTATCTGATACTAATACAATTATATTAGATTATCAGTTTCTCTTGAAATTCACATTTTACCAAAGCTGAAAAATAACATGAACTGCAAAATACATATTATTCAAGTGAAATTCAATTAACTTTATATCTAATCAATATTGTCTTGCTGTTTTTTTAATGTAATATCTTCTTCTATTTTCATGTGAATGAACACGAACAGGCGACCGTAAGAATTTTCAAATATTAACGGCAATTGAACTGGATTCGATGATGAATCTATATCATACCTTTTGCAATCAATTCATCTAACATTTTTCATTTGACTTTGTACAAGGACTCATTTTTTGAATGTCTTTTATCATTGACTGATATTTAAATGTTAGCTGTCTGAGCTGACTATTAAATGAAAAGCAACTACTTAGTGAATATTTCTTTTGCCATACGAGAAAGAAGTCCAACAATTTGAATATAAACTTTACGAGATGAACCACATCAATGATGAAATTTTTCAGCAAGACCAAACTCCAAAGCGTATACTTCTAAAATCCGGTTTTTCTAGATATTCTGTCGAAAGATGTGCATCATTTGGAATCGATTTTGAACTTTTTTATTCGTTCATAAGAGCATTTTTTCGTTCGGATATTCGTATTTCTCTTCTGTCACTAATAAAAACTACATGGATATCTTAGAAAAACTTATGCATGCTCAGAAAAAAATTTCCAGAGAGATTTTGTGGCTACAGAAGTTATCCACAGTATGAACTATTTTATTTCCAAATTGTTACCTCAATTTAGAGTTCGTTTTAAAGTAAAATGCATGAAACAATAGTCAATGTCTCTTGTTGCATCACGTTGTTAACGCATGGCGTAGGACGGGTGTGAATGTTGCTCTGCTTCTTTTCTTCATTCACTCCCACCCCCATGTGTGCAAATGTTGTGGCGAGAAAATATCCTAGAGAGTCAATGTTCTAAACCCATGATTTCGCCCATACATATTTTTCCTTTTAAAAAAAGTACCGTACTCAAAATAAAATATGAGAAACTCAAATGTTCATTTTCTGGATTCAGCCGATCTGAAACTACTTAATTAAAAAATAGTCTATTGTGCAGTTATACATGAATTTGATTGAACAAAAAAAAATACTGGCAACACATGAAAAAGGCAATTAATACTATTTTATGACACATTAGTCATGTAAAACTATACCGCACCATAAAAAGCACTTTCGATAGTTTTTACTTTCAGCATCTTCTTCTTCTTCTTCTTCTTCTCCTCATTAAATTTATGTCATTCATTATATATGTTGTTTTTGATGTTCAATTTCAAACGACTACATTATGTTACAATATTTGGCATAATTCCAGACTGTCGTTTCCTTCTTTATCTGTTTGGCTGGTGTGAGCATAGCGATATTTTTTCTTTCGATCAAAGTTCGGAAACGAGATACTTCAATTAGTGATACACTTTCATTTATACAACGAAGTGAATCTTTTTCAAGTAATGATAAAACTTGTTCTGGTTCACTATTGGCCATGTATTCACTGAAAAAGATTAAACTTAGACCATCCATACTCGATAAAATACGAGCCATTTGTGGAAGATTGTTTTCAGAAAGCCATTTTTGTACATGTGTTTCTGTCCAATCTTGAATATTTTCAGGAAGTATTATTAATTGTGATGATGACTGTGTCGAACGAGAGGAACCATTCAATAAATTCTCAGGATTTAATTTTGGTGGAACAAGTTTAGTTAAAGTTTTATTACGTTTATCAGCCATTTTGAGTTCCTTCATTAACATATCGAGTGCTTTCGAATATTCATGTTTAGTAAAATCAACATAAAGTAATGAACCAATTAGAAATGCAAGCCATCCATCAGGTTTGTAATGTTTTTGCAAGAGAATTGGTACCATATGTAATTGTTTTTGAAATGCATATTGTGCTTCAGCTCGACAATAATTACTTCGTCGATATTGTTCACTCATACAAATCATTATAGTTCGAGATTGTTCAATAGCTTCTACCATTGAATCCATAACATTTCCATGCATCTGATCAAAATCAATCCATATTCGATAACCAACTCGAACAAGTTCTTCATATAATTGTTTACAAATTTCTTTATCTTTATGTGAATAACTGATCATAATATCGAATTTCTTTTCATGACTACTGTCGTCCAATATAATGTTTTCTTCACGATCTAAATTTAAATTCCAAAGAATACCATTCACAATTTTACTCATATTTTCATCATTTGTTTGATGATTGATTTGAACTAATTTAGTTGTGAATGCTTGATTTGATTGAAGTTGTTTAACAATAACTGAATTGAATGAAAGAGCCCAAATAATATCGAATGCCATAGGATAATGATCACATAATTCAATAAATAATGATATTTTGTTGAAATTAACTGTGGCTGTTTGAATAGTATCATTCGATGATAAGCTTAGAAAACCTATTTCATATAAATATATATGTATTATGTAGTCAAGTAGTTTATAGACTCTTCAAAAACAAAGAATTTGTAGTTGGGACCAGTAGGAATTGTTGATTTCAACATACAACCCATTCCATCATATACAGAACAAACTAATATGTGCTCCATGAGTCTCTGTTTTCAATTTAGTAGGAAAAAAAAATGATAAAATGGAATTTCTGCTTACAAAGGATTGATTTGATCGAGTCATATGAATTTGATACTATGGTTGATTCCTATTTCCAAAAAAATTCGAATTTCATGGAAACATAATATGAAAAACGTTGTACGACAGGGAAGTTTGATAAAAGGCTTAATCGAGATGTTATCAACGTATAAGAAATAAAACTGAATTTGATATGCATATACAAAAAAAAATAGAATTCAAGTTTTCAATTGAGTTAGGAAATTTATTTTTAATATAGAGTGATGGTGAGAGTATACCGCCAAAAAAAGACATTCATAAATTCACATATCTTCTCTTTATATTCTTGTTGCATTAATATCAATTGTCTGCAAGTATTTCTTAAAGTATGAAACTAAATTTGCATAAAATTTTCTTGTACCTAGATCGAAAGTGAGCCATCAAATTATGTCGGATCTGTCTCAATCCGATGCATTTCGATGGTTGAATCCGATAGGATTCTTTTGTCGGGATCCAATGGGTCCCATCAAGTTCCAAGAAGTTAGCCGTTGAATTGCAGTGGAACATATGTTCTGTATATATGAGTTTATTTCGAATTGAATTCTTTTTAGATTCTAACGAAAATAATGAGCTCAGGCATGTTAATGAATGAGCAGGGTGAAGAAACATTATTACAAAATGACTATCAGAGCACTATTTTCCAAATAAAACTGGATGATTTCTCATACTTAAGATCTATCTCACTACTGCAATAAGAATCAAAGCACCAAACCGATTAGAGTGTTGCACGAGATTAGTATCATAAACATTTAATTGAGTAGAAGACTTGGACACTCACTTAGTAATAAATAGGCATCAAATACTTTCGATATGCATAGTGTACATTAGCAAGAGTTATTTAGACAAAAAGAATTTCTCATATCATAATATTTTGACTGTATCAATGTATAGAATGATAATTAGTGGTCTCTTTTCGTTATGGTATGCTTCTATTATTTGTACTCGTGTGTTTCGTCTGAGGCAGTACAATGATTTGGCAACAGTTTTTCTCTACTGCTTATTAATTACATTGGAAGCTCCTTTTCTTTACTCTTTTTGCTTTCGACTGAGGGTAGATGTTCTCTGATGTTACTTACAGAGTGAGACAAAAGTTTGGCTACTTGCTAAAAACATGTCTTCTTCTCTTTTATTACAGATCTACAAAGGCTCCAAGTACAACATAAAATATGTTGCAACCACATGAATAATATCCTACATTTTCAAAACTCTATCCCTATCACTAGGAAAGATATATAGCTGGTACTATAGGGAAGCCCTTTTTGTGTGGCCAAATAGAATTTCTTATTTATAAGGAAATATCTAGAATAGTAAGTTTTTTTATCATAAATACAATATCAAATAATAAAGTAATTTATATTTTCATCTTATTGTAGTCATTTTCTATTGGTTGAAGGACCTTTACTATTAATAGCACACTATATTTTTTCGCAGTTTTAAACTGATGNCGATAACCAACTCGAACAAGTTCTTCATATAATTGTTTACAAATTTCTTTATCTTTATGTGAATAACTGATCATAATATCGAATTTCTTTTCATGACTACTGTCGTCCAATATAATGTTTTCTTCACGATCTAAATTTAAATTCCAAAGAATACCATTCACAATTTTACTCATATTTTCATCATTTGTTTGGTGATTGATTTGAACTAATTTAGTTGTGAATGCTTGATTTAATTGAAGTTGTTTAACAATAACTGAATTGAATGAAAGAGCCCAAATAATATCGAATGCTATAGGATAATGATCACATAATTCAATAAATAAAGATATTTTGTTGAAATTAACTGTGGCTGTTTGAATAGTATCATTTGATGATAAGCTTAGAAAACCTATTTCATATAAATATATATGTATTATGTAGTCAAGTAGTTTATAGACTCTTCAAAAACAAAAAAAAGAAAACACTTGTTGAGATCACTGGCAATACCTGATTTCAACATACAATCTGTTCTATCCTATATAGAACAAATCAACATAAGTATTCAATGGGTCGCTTTTGTCGATTTACGAAAACGATAAATAAAAATTTGAGAGAACCAAGGATTGATTTGATCGAGTAATATCAATCGGAAACTATGGTTGATTTCTATTTCCAAAAAAATTCGAATTTCATGGAGACATAATATGAAAAATGTTGTACGACAGGGAAGTTTGATAAAAGGTTTGCGCAAGATCTTACTAATGTATAAGAAATAAAGGATAGTTTGACATGCACAACAGATGAAATAGAATTCAAGTTTTCAATTGAGTTAGGAAATTTATTTTTTATGCAGACAGTGATGGTGGGAGTATACCGTCAGAACAAGACCTTCATAAATTCTCATCTGTCTCTTCGATATTTCTGTTGCATCAATATTAATTGTCTGCAATTATTTCTTAAAGTATCCCACTAAATCTCCGGAAAATTTTCTTATAATCATTTCTTCTGAATTTTTTTCAAAGCAAGAGGACTAGAGTCCTGCGAAACAGTCCAGAATCCCGAAAAATCTTGTTTGTACCGTTCCGTGAGACAAACGAAACTGTCCGGAAAAATTTTCAGGACAATTCGAAAATAAAAGTTGTCCCGAGATTTTTGAGATTGCATATCGAAATTCGTTGTAAACTTTAAATATCATATTTTTCACAAATATTTTAGTATTAAAATAAAGAGTGTCGAAGAAAAGCACAAAAAACCAAGCCACGAGATGCTTTAATATCTGTCTATTATTGTTCTCTTTATCAGTTATTTTACCTCTAATGCCATTTCAACTCATCGTCTTATTTGGTTAATACACTTCACCGATCAATTAGTTTACGGATGAGAGGGAGAGTGTATTACAATTACAGTTGTACTTTATATTAATCTTTTTTTCTAAACTTCGCTACAGGCAGATAAGTACTTTTTAATATTTGAATTTCTGATATTTCGTTCGATTAACAGCAACCTTTAAATTTTATCCATATCTGAATATTTTTCCTGATTGGCATTGTATAGTCAATAATACTTATCAGAAATTCATAAAATCATCTCATAATCATAGATATGAATAAATTATTTCGATTGATTCGATAGAAAGAAGACACGTACTGCTGTTGAACAAAACTATATCTTTATTTTTTTTCCGTTTACGGGACAAACGGAATTCGGGACATAGAAAAGTTTGTTCCGTAGGCCTCTAAGGAGAACATCATCTCATGCGATAAAATCATATTATACTTTTCTACTGTTATTTCGAGTTTACTGGATACAGAATACATACAATTCTAAGAACTATATGATTAAGTTGAGTGTTAGTGTGAATCTTCTCTTCCAACTCATCCACACCCACACTCGGATACTTGAAATGTCTTTCCATTGATTTTCATCAAGACAGATTCCTATTGTAGATATATACTTTTACTTTGTATAACTACTTTCTTATCATAATCACACTATTTACTTGATAGTTAGAATAAATATACCTTTTAATAAATATGGAATTGTTATTTTTTTCCATTTTTTTGTTGGATGATTCCATGCTTGTTCAAGAATATTAAAGTAAAATTCACACATAGTATCACTAATTTTCCATTCTTTCAATTGTTTATCAGAAAGAACTTCCGCTAGAAATCCATATGCATATATACGAATCGGATCATAGGGTGATATTTGTGCTATGGACCAAAGTGTTGCAGGTAAATTTGTTTGTGAACTTATGAAACAACCTAAATCATATGTTTTTGCTGTACGAAATAAAAATATTAAACATGCATCCATAAGAACAGTTTCATCATTGTAGAATTCAGCAGAAATGCGTTGATGAAAAGGTTGATAACTAACAAGACGAATAAGTGCAAAAATATGTTCATATGTTGTATCATTAGATGGAACAATATGTTCGATATTTTCAGGCTTTTGTTCACCCCACCAACATGATGAACATATAAGACCGATAATATGTGCAATGCAAGAAAGCAATTCACTACTCCACGAGTCGATAGTGTAACTATGCACAAGAACTATTTGTGAATAATCTTCACTAAGAAATTTAATAATCTCTTCGCTAATCAAAGGAAAATTTTTTGATTCCAACCATAAATAAATGTTCAATAAAAATGAAGATGTTTTGATATAAAAACATTGTTTAGGAGTAAATACAGATTTTGTAAGTTTTGGTTCACGAAGTTGTTTTAAATAGAATTTATATTGATCTGTCATTATAAAATCATGACTTAATCGATTAATCAAATGTAGCATCGTTGGTGAACAAGCAATATTAGAAATTTGATGGGCTAAATATGATAAAGTATCAAACCATAAACTGACAAGTGTTAGAAATGTGTCATTGCTTGTTTCAATTTGTTCAAGTATTCCATCAATCCAATCAATATTTGATGGAATTAAAAGTGATTTTTTTGTATCGGGCTCAATTCCATCATTATTCGAAATTAATTTAATATTAAATGCATGGAGTACATGAAAGAATTTGACATATTCATCTAAATCGATCCATTGTTGTGAATCTTTACTGAGCATTTGCCATACCCAATGTTCGATAGCAACTATGGACTTGAGCGATGTAGAAACAAACGATAATATTGTTTGAGAAGTTTGTTTTTCAAAAATATCTCTTAGTTTGATTATCAAATCACTACACCAAGATGAATCAATTAGTGCAGGAACAAGTTCCTCGAGATTATTCTCCATCATTATGTTTTTTAAAGAACGCGCTAGAAGGTTTAATGAAAGAACATGTATGTTTGAGTGAATGAATCAAATAATGGAAGGTAAACTTTGAAATAATAGCAACCAGAATACAAACAAATGAGAAAGAAAAATATGACTCACTTCATGTTGAAAACTATTCTTTCTTTTTTGAGTGATGCACGAGCAACTACGTATAATGTGAACACGTGGAATTTTGTGATCAATGACATCTTAATGTTTCTATAGAAGTAAGTAAATAAAATCAATGCAGTTAAAAAAAAGTTTTGAAATGAACATATATGTCAAACTTGAAACTTGAATTCAATTGAAATTTCAACTTTCAACTGAAATTTCAAATTTCAAGTTTCAACTTTCAAGTTTCAAGTTTCAAGTTTCAAGTTTCAAGTTTCAAGTTTCAAGTTTCAAGTTTCAAGTTTCAAGTTTCAAGTTTCAACTTTCAACTTTCAAGCCTCAAATGAGCAGCACTTTGCAGAATCACCAGTAACCCGCATTCTCACACACACATCATCGCAGCTGGTGCGGGTGCGGCGAAAGGATTGGTCAGAAAAGGACTGGCCACGAAACGACACACGTCACATCGTAGCTGGTGAGGGTGCTGCGAAAGGACTGGCCAGAAAAGGACTGGCCACGATACGACACACATCACATCGCACCTGGTGAGGGTGCTGCGAAAGGACTGGCCAGAAAAGGAGCCGTCGCGAAACGACTTGAAAGTTGAAAGTTGAAAGTTGAAAGTTGAAAGTTGAAACTTGAAATTTGAAATTTCAGTTGAAAGTTGAAATTTCAATTGAATTCAAGTTTCAAGTTCGACACTACTGGAAATGAAGTAGATTTTGGATCATAAACTCGTAAATTTTGTTTTTGATGATCACAGACGATAATCAAAGTATAGAATTCNGTTCCTCGGAAATTAGAATGTAAAATATGGTGTAGCTAATTTAATCATGAACGAGAAATCTAACTACATTTAGCACAGCTTTTGGTGATAACATATGGTCAGCATATTGAAAACCTCTCGAAAGCACTGCAGACTATAACAGACAGCGGCATGTCTGTCACGGTTTGTTTTACTTGAGTCTAACTTTCTTGCTACATACTTTAACATTCATTATCAATAGAATTAATGACACGTTTAAAGTCGTAACGAGCTTCAACAATACATGATCGCATAGAGTATAGTCGAGAGAATACGTAACAGTATGTTTTGATATAAATTTTTGTTTGCAGCAACTGAGCTGATGCAAAAATAGAAAAGCGAATCTCGTGTACTGCTGCAAAGTATAGCAAAACTAATACTGGTTGACAATGTTTAGTAGTTTGTTCGTTCGAAAATCAACAAGTTCCTTTTTAATATTCATGCATGATCTGATAAGATAGAAGAACCGAGAAACATGGCACTGTGTAGTTCAATCGCTAAGTCGGACACAGTATCACATAAAGCAGACTATTTGTAGAGAAATACACGGAACCTAAGTGAACCAAATACTAGAAAAATGCTGTTGAAACAGATAACAGATTTTATGTTGCTAGTGTCGAAATATGATAGGTTGGGTGTAAATGTTGGTATCGGTGGCGCTGTGGTTATTGTAGATGACATGAAGACCTTCCCACTCACGACCATACTAGAGATGCAACAATACTAAAATCGTCAACAATAATAATACTTGGCATCAGTCGATAGTGATATGGGTAGTTAGCGAAGAAAAATTAAACTCAATAATTTCGAGAAACAGATTATAGATTCGAATTCGTCGACCTTTGGGAAGTTCTGATAAAACTTTGAAAAAAATCGTTGCTTTTTTTCAAAATTGCCTATATCCGACGAAAAAAATCGAAAATCTGTAATTGTTTTTCCCGAATTTTTGAATTTGATTTTCTCATCAGGGAAAGGTTATTTCAAAAGAGTAATAATTTCTTATAAAGTTCAATCGAAGCTGTTCATGGTCGAGCACTCTAAATTCATGATTAGTTTCTCAAAATTATCGAGTTTAATTTTTCTTGGCAAACTATCCATACAATACCTACCAATACTGTATTGATATTGTTACATTCTTAATCCACATTCATACCCTCACTCACACACGCAGGCACACCCAACACCCAAATATCGGTTTCTCATGACCATGATGGTGTTGTACAGACAGAAACTTTGTTTATTGCTATGCTTACTTTGTCGAAATGAAATGTCTGAATCAAAAGAAATGTTTTTTTTCTCAAATATTATTCATTCTAGATTGTAGACAAAGACGCAAAGCTGAATGACACACATCGAAATGATTGTGTGGGCCGATGCAAACGCAAGTGCGACGACACAGAAACACTTGCGTGCCATTTGGCCGACTTTAGGCGTTTTCTCCGATTTGGAATCGTGCATTCTTCACATCACATCCAATACCGAAAGAGACGAGACTGTACTGCTAATCGTTTCTGGTTCCTTCGGACAGCGTATAGCTCCTATTCTTGACAGTTTACCACAACTGTGTACTGTTTATGTCTATTGCATGGACATAAAAAAACATATCGAATGGGCCAAGCATTACAACAAAATTGGTTGCCATCGAGTAGTCAGCCGAGAAGATGAACTTCTCACACAATTAATAGTCGATCTTAATGATACAAAACCGAAGGTAGAGAACAATTCATTTGTTTAAAAAACACGTAATCATCGAAACGATATCTAAATGCTTATTATTAACTTGCAAGAAACATCAGCACATGAAAAAAATCGATCATTGAGAATAATTATTTGATGAGATTAGTTAGTTGAATTTAACTCATTTTTCAATAATTATTCAAAATTGTGATGGAGCTTCAAGAACTTTCTTGATTAATCATCGAAACATCATCTGTATAGATTCAGTCTATGATGGTTAAAGATGTGTAGAGAAACAATTATTTCATGTCTTAAAATTAGATCACTTTCCAGTAGCTCACATATTTTTTGTAGGTCGAAGGAAAACTAATCAAAACTATCTGAATAAAAATAATTTTAAATGAATATTGGATGTAATGTATCAGTTACTTTTAAACAGAATGAAGTGACATTTTTCAAAATGAAGAAAGATTTTAATAGTCAATATAATAGGTGAAAATTACTTCACAGATGTCTCTTCGAATAGAAAGCAAATATTTTGATGAAAAGACAAAGATGTGTGTCGAAAAATCGGAAGGAATCTTATGAAAACGCCAAAGTAGATTTTGTCTAAAATGATTTCTAAAAGTATCGATATGTTAAGAACATCCCATAAAGAACAACAATAAATTCTTGAAGATTCGTCATTTTACAACTTCCAATTCATGAAAAAGTCATGTTTGACGAGAGATTGTTTAGTTGAAGAGAGGATTTTTCGTTTGATTGTTTCATTCTAGGAGCTTTCACCGATGGCTGTTGCGGATCGTATTGTATCTACTAAGCAAGAGAATGTTTCAAGTATCAGTGTGTTTGCTGTAGCTGAACCGAATCGATCAACACGTGATTTAACCGAAGAGAATGTTGCTTTTGTATGGTTTCAAATGCTATCTGAAATCCTTGTGCAAATGCCACAATTACCAACAGCACGTGATGAAATGCTTGAAGAGTGGCGTCAAGCATGTCATATTGGGCATGATCAGACAAATATTATAAAAGAATTTTGTCGTGATTACAATCCGAAAAAGGCACTCTATTGGTACACACGAGATACAGATCTCTATAAACTTCTCAATAAAGCATTGCGAACGGAAAATGTCGACAATATTTACAAGTTTCGATTTTTTATTGTTGATTTACATCGGCAACTAACTGAGTTATTTCAAACATCTGTTCCTATCAACCACGTATTGACAGTATATCGTGGTCAACGTATGACAATTCGTGAAGTTGAACATTTGCGTCGTAATCATTACGGTCTAATCTCAATGAATAGTTTTATTTCAACATCTATCAGTAAGAAAGTAACAGAAGAGTTTCTCGCACAATCAAGTAAAGAAAAACAAGAGAAAACTGTAGCAGTTCTGTTCAAGATGACCCTTCGTGCTGATGTAGCTCGACAAACGGATAAGCCATTCGCCAATATTCGAAAGTTTAGTTCCTATCCGAAAGAAGAAGAAATTCTCTTGAGCATGGGTACTATATTTCGGATTGATGAAATCGAACAACGTTCATCGGATTTCTTTTATTTCGAGTTGACCATGTGCATAGGCAATACGGATCCTCAGGTGAATATCAATCGAACTCAAACTCACGTTTATTTCATATAATTTGATACATTTGTTACGAGTTTTGTCAACTCATTAAAGGTCTATTTCAAATCTTAACAAATAATATTTTGTGTCGATCACTGAAGAGTATCATTAATATACTGAAATTTCCTTTCGGTAGGATTTTAAAGAAAATCTATTCGAAGATTTTTTCAAAAGCTTGGATGAAATCTTTTTTTTCAGTCTAATTTCTGTTTTCTATTAGATTTTTAAGCGTTCCTAAATGTAGCATATGTTAATCATTTCCATTCACCATAATTTGACTGTAGTTTCACGTATTTTTTGAAAAATTGTTGAGTTTATTTGTGAGATTATTTTAATATACTCAAAAATCTATAGCATTGAATACCATTCTCAATTTAGAAATAGATTTTATTGTTAGCTTTGATGAATTCTCAATGTTTTTTCATTGTAGCACAAGGCATTGTACGATTATGCTAAAGAAGAAATAGCGTGTGCAAAGAAAATGAGTTACTCCACATATGGAAAATTTCTCGCTCTTATGTCTAATTTCGATAGTTCAATTGCTTATTACCGTCAAGTCTTATCACAAGTGCCTAATCAATTGCAACTGAATAAAACGGATTTGGCAACAATTTATAATGACTTTGCCTATGCATATCGTGATTCTCATCGTTATCAAGAAGCATTAGAATATTATCAAAAAGCCCTTGAAATAAGAGAAAAACAAGGACCTGCTCATGAGGAGGATTTGGCGACAACCTACAGTGATTTCGGATGGCTGCTCATGAATATGGGTGATGTACAGAAAGCACTCGATTTTCATCAACGAGCATTGAAGATTCGAGAGAAAATTTTAGGTCTCAACAATGGTGATACTGCTATGTCATATAATTGTATTGGTCTCGCTGCTGTTTATATTGGAGATTTTGATCGAGCCTTGAATTGTCTTGAGAAAGCATTGGCTATTCGACGATGTTGTTTGGCCGCTTACCATCCTTACACTGCCATGTCATATTCATCACTGGGTTCGTATTATGAAACTCTCAGTGAAAACTTTCAAAAGAAAAATATGCGTGACAAAGCTGTTGAATATTGCTCTCGAGCATTGGATATGCATAAACAAGCTCTTTTAATTTATAAAAGATCAGTGCCTCCCACACATGAAATTCTCGGGAATAGTTACGCGTCAGTAGGTTCAATCTATTTGGATCAAGGACAATTCCAAGAAGCCATCGAACATTTGACGGCATGTGCAGTCATTCGACGTAAAAGAGGTGGCAGTGGTCTTTTACACATTCTTAGCCGATTGGGACAAGCCTATTCAGAGCAAGGCAAATATCAACAAGCTATAAATTCTTACCAGGAAGCTTTATCTATCGCGCAAAAGAATGACAATAACACATTAGTAGCACAACTCAAGGCAAATATTGAAAGATGTAAACGGAACTTATCCTAAAACAGATGTTCATTGTGTTATGTCAGGATGTTGTGATGCTTAATTCTTTTCTATAACATTTGTTCTTACGTTTTCTTCCTATGTAATTTATCTTTGTGTGACCAGATTCTTGCGTCAGTTTCGAAATTTCACCTTTGAATTAGTACCACTAATTAAACACGTACAAAACGATCTGAAAATCACGTGGTTAACTTCTACTGTCAAGGAATTCTAGACATGTTGCTCTGAGCGATGAGAATATTCACGCTTGGAATTCACATCCAACTCCACGTCGTTTTCTCCTTGTTCGATAGGCAAATGAACAATTTACAGTGTGGGTGTAGGTGTGATAGAAATACTAATGTCGCAATTCACATGAGAACTCAGTTGGATTTGGAATGTACGAATTAATTTTCAAAAATTCCCTTAGAAACAGATTTATAATATGAATAACACCATATAAACAAGATGAACCAATTGATTTAGATAAGAGTTCACAAAAAGAAGTCACATTATATACACTAATTCAAAAGTTTTAATGTTGTTCTGGACTTTTTTTTTTTACTAATAGAAACAAAATGTACAGCTCTTGTAGTATACACATTTCGATTTTTCTGACTGCTCTATTTCATTCTCCGTTAATTAGAAATAGAGATTGAATAAATTTTTTACTCTGTAGTCATTTTATGGTTTTTAATCTGTTTTCTTAAGTTTAAGTCGATTCTCATTGCTTTTTTTATTTGATAAGGTTTGCCGTCTGTTTCGTTTCCGTTTAGATAATTTTAATACGAATAGCAAAACCTTCAGAAATAACAAGTTAATTGGTGTGCTATCAAAACAAACCGATAAAAAAAAATGATCAAAAAACTAATTAATGTCATATATTATCAATTATCCTATTTAGACAACAAATTTAAAGCTTTCAATTTCACTAATACTTACAATCATACAGTATGTTCTAATATTATAATTATAAGACGCACATGTGGTAAAATCCAACATTGGTTTTAAAAATTGCCCAGATGAACTCCCTTCCCGTGTGAATAGTTCAAAAAAACAACATTTTTTTTTAAAACTTTGATTAAATATTCAATGTTTGTATATGGCAAAAATAGAAAAATACTGTCGAAATATATATTTCATTGAGCGAAATAAATCTTTTTCGAATTCTTTAGAATTTATCATGATTAATTATTCAAGTAGATTATTTTTTTCATACCGACATAACTTTGAAGTTCAGCAAGTTCACTAGATTCATTATATAGAATAACGAAAGTACATAGATAANTTTTTCAAAATTATAACTTGATTAATTTTGCAAAAAAACTAGAATATCTGACATCTGCTATTCTCTACTGCTAAAGTCTGTAATGGGATGGGGTGTCAGTTACTAGGTATCTGTAATGGAGGGAGTGAGAGAGGGGGAATTGGAAGCCGCGAAACCTGAATTTAAAACTTTCACTCACTATTTTCTTCGAAAATATATGTCAGTTCCACAAAAGGTTTCCTATCTCCTCTTTCAAAACATTTCTCCTCCAATTGTATCATGACAAATACCTATGTTTTTCACTGATTGAGGAAAATAAATCGCAAGAAAACATAGGCACAGAGAAAAAAGAAAAAAAACGAAGGGCACACGAATAAGAATTCATAACGGATTACCTAAAGATGTATCAAAGTAGATGACCATGACAGACAATTAGCGCGTTAATCTTTAATAAAAAAAATATAAGGAGAGATACGCATCTCACGCAATATTTTAAAGTGCGTAAAAGAAAACAAACAGATTTCATTGCTAACTTGAATCAGAAGATAAGTTCAACAGAAATACCATTTCTTACAATTGCATAACAGTAAATAAAGAAATCTAATGAAAAAACATATTCAGATGATGTATGATTTTTGAAATAAAGCCTTTTTTGTTATTAAAAAAAAGCGCTGCTTGGGAGAAGCAAAGAACAACGTATGACAAAAGATCTTATTCTCTATTCATGATTATTTTCCTGATGCAGAAAAATTATGAACTGTTTTCAGTTATTAAGGCAAAACGTTTTATTAGAACGAACGTCTAATCAGACTATAATAAGCTTCAAAAATAACTACCTATCAATCTTTTTATTCAGTTTTCTAATGTTTGACAAGAGAACTGAATGCAAAGTTTTGCTCATAAATAAACAATGTGATCCTTCGAATTCAAGCTAAACAAACGATGAAAGACATGAAAGAAACGTCAAGAAAAAATACATATATTATGATTGAATGAATATATTAGAGTGAAAGTCTAACTTGATCAGCTATATAAAAACACTGCCTCATCTTAATTTTCAATTGATGTAATTTAATCATTGATAAATTATCTGTTTTCTAAGAAATACATAATCATTACGCTTGATGAAACTAAAGTGTTATGAGTCAGTTTCTATACAATATAGAAAATAAATTGTCTTTACCCAATCATTTTTTATTTTTAATATGTGAATTTCATGAGAATAAGTTCTATTAAGTAAGTATTTTAAAGAAAAATCGTAATAAAATTTTTATTTATTTCTTATATTAACGATTTTATTTGATCAGATTTCAGAGAAAAAATTATTTTTATATAAAAATTAAATTGAAGACCATCGAACTATTTTTCCTTATAAATGAGTTCTATATTTTAATTTCCAATAGGAATATGATTTGTTACGAGGATGAAGCTTCAATGTCAATGGATTGATTTTAACCGTCAAAGAAAATAACAGTATCAGATAGATGAGCTAATTCAATAGCTGTTGCAAAACCAACTTCATCATTATCAGATATTTTAGAACTATAAGCCAATGTAACATTGATGCAATGATCTTGAACCAAAATGAAATGAAATAAAAAGTAATTGGCATTATTTAGAGAAATGCTCTCAGAGGGTTTGGGTGTGGATGTGCGTCTTGTTTTAGCCTACACCCCCGTCCAGGTCGTACGTCTCATAGCAGCATGTTTGTGTAATTCTGCTTTATTCTACACATCATAAGCCACTGATTTGTCAATGGTATATATATTCTGCTCAAATACTAAGTTGGTTCGACTCTGCAAGCCATCGCTCGTGACTCTTATTATCTTTGCTTGTTGTTTTCGGTAATATATGTTTGTGCTTTGCTTTAATTGCTTTCTCTTTTCATAAGTTACTTGTAATCATCACCATATCCCTTTGGCCCCATCGTGGTAGAGGGCTAAATAAACCACAAATAATTTAAGAGATATACACTACAAACTCATTCATCATTACTTTGCTCTTAGATATGTTTAAAGTTTTAAACGCTCGATTATTCATAGTTGATAAAGATAAAGCTCTATCGCGCAACAGACATATGTAGATACGAAGTAAAAAAGAAAAAAAAGCAGCAGATGATAAAAGAAACAGAAAAATAGAAGAAGAAAAGGTCACCTTTGTTTAGGGCTAAGAATGTTTTGATTTTAATATCGACCGTAACAAAACAATGAAGTTGTTACATTTTCGAGAGATCTCAGTTGTTTTGATGCTGAAGAAAAGCTTTTCTGTTCGTATTTGCAAGAGAGAATAGAAGTAAGAAATGACTAGTTAAAGAAAAACTTGTTTGCACTACTGCTGGTGACATCAACAGTTCGGTAAATAAAAAAACGTCTGACTCGTCTAATTTTGCTACAAGCATAGAGGTGAGTAACACGAAAGTGATTTTTTACAAGATCAAAATTGAGCTAACAATGAACGTGTTTGTACTGTTGAGAAAAAAGGTTGACCATATTCAGGTCAAATGATCACTTCCACCGAGAGATTACTGAATTTAAAATATGAGCTGCTTATAGCATACCAGGACAGAGACATTCAATTTTTAAACTATGGATTATTTGGATATAGTAGCATGATAATGTATGAACTATTCACATCAAGTTTTTAGTATAATCATCAGATATTTTGAGGAGCGAATTTCCAAAATCTCGACGAAATTTATTGATAATAATAAATTATACAAAATAAAATTTCAAAAGGTGTATTATAGATGAAGAGAAAGATCTTCAATTTATATATCTATTCTGTACCATTATACTTCAGAAGTCGTACCCAGAGACACCTAAATATTCTCAATAAATTTCATCAAAATTGTGGAAACTGGCTTCTCAAAATATCTGATGATTATATTAAAAACTTGATGTGAATAGTTCATACATTATCATGCTTCTATATCCAAATAATGCATGACTTAAAAATTGAATATTTCTGTCCAGGTACGCTATAAGTAGCTCATATTTTAAATTCAGTAATTTTTCGGTGGAAGTGATCATTTGACCTGAACATGGTCAATCTTTTTGCTTAACAGTACAAATCCTCCCATTGTAAAAGAAAAACATCCTCATTCATTTATTTAGAACTGGTTTTATTTGCAGTTAGTAATAAATGAGCGTGTGTTACCTCAAAGTAGTTTTGCATAGTTAAGCTCTCCACAAACGATTAGAAATAATAGCTTGAAACATACAGTCGGGCCTATTTTGAAGAACCAATGCTTCTTCGAAATCTATGCCATTACTTTGCTTACTATTCGGACATACATAGGAACGACTTTTAAGTTGATATGTTATCATTTGCATATTAATGGACTAATTACTAGCCATTTGTTCTATTCAAAGTTATAGTTTTAATTTTTTTTGTTCCATAGATTATTTCACGTGACAAATGGACTCGACACAATCCTTAAATGATTCCAAATATTTTTTGCAAACTAAACGAGTTGGTTTTCATTTATGGACAGAAGATGACTTTCAATTAGCTTTTAATCTTTGGGGTAATAATGCTGTTACACAGCTAATCGGCGGTCCATTCACAATTGAAAAAATACAAGAACGTTTTTCATATGAAATCAAGAATATGAAAGATTACGGTGTTCAATATTGGCCCATATTTGTTTTGAAAACTGGAGAACATATCGGATGTTGTGGTTTTCGCCCATATGACAAAGAGAAGAATACAGTTGAAATTGGTTTCCATATTCTACCGAAATTTTGGAGACAAGGATTTGCTCGCGAATCCGCATATGCTGCAATATCGTATGCATTCTGTAATTTAAATGTGAGTAAAATTTTTGCTGGTCATCACCCAAATAATGTGGCTTCTTGTCAACTTCTCGCACAACTTCGATTTCAGTATACTCATCATGAATATTATCCTCCAACTGGTTTACAACACCTATCGTACATACTCACAAAAGAACAATATTGTAAAAAACATATTTGATAGTCGAATTCTACGATTTTCGAAAAGTTGAAAATAGGAAATATAGATGTATACCTAAAATTAAAGCTGGAAGATACAGTAATCAAGTTAGACAATTAAAGCAATGCTCTTGCCACTATTACAGTCAGTGTTCCTAATAACGACGAGAAGGGGTGTGACTGGGTGGGTGGGTGGATTCGGGTATTCTTTTCTTCCAGACTCATACCCACATTCACAGTGTGACACATTTCCAGTTCACCAGGACTGTCTAGCCGGTGAAAGGCATATTGCAACCGAGAAATAAAATAGCTTTCTAGCTTTTGCTCTGTCGAACGACCTGCATGAATTGCAGATTTGTTTTTCAATAAAACTCGAAGTACAATGAACAAGTTGTTTCATAGTGCATGCGTCATGGTGAATTTATCCTTTACTATCACCGTGGTCTTTTTATACATTGTTTTCTGTAAACAATTTTCTTGTGTGGGAAGATAGTTTGAGTTAAATAGCTTCGTGCGCAGATTTTCCACGGTGACATTTTGATGTGTGAACGATAGAAAAACACTAATACATATAGCTGAGCGAAGAGTCTGTCTCAATCTGTTCATGATGTGTACAACGATTTGCATGTATTTTCTATTGGTTTCTTTACTTCGTATTCACTTTTAACGCATTGGTTCTTGCCCCTTTTTTACGCCAGCAGTGATTACCATCAAAAAGAGCTTGTTCGATGATGTATGCAGCAAACAGTTGGTAAGATGATCAACGTTTGAGAACAGCATTCATGTGTAAGAAAATCATAAGGTGTTATGGTAAAAAGAATGTGCGAGCTTTCATGAACACCAGCTCGTGTGTGCTAAGTCAAATCTACTCTGCATAATGATTGATTTGACATGCGTATGCACTTCACATGGATTTGTTCTCCGCATCCAAGGAGCCGTCATATACGTCCCTCATTGCAATAATTTTTATACAGGATCCAGTAAATATGGTGACAGCATGAACAGTATCGTTTTAAATGTCTGAGTTGTGTAGACTTTTCTGCTGCTCTTATTATGCTAGCATATTTCATGAAAGCGATGCTTAAATCATGCGTGCAAAAGTTGTGAGTGGGCACCTCGATGTTTGTCAAGAGAAAATGAGACGTTTATCGTAGTTACAGGAACAGTAAAAGACATGTTTTTTTCCGTTAGCTCAATGTGTTTTTAGCGTTATCGTGCTTTTGCGAGAGAGAAATGAAGAAATCATTGCTACTCATTTGTGCATTTACTATATCATGAACTTTTTTTACGCATTCTCCTACTTGTAGCTGCTTGCTTATCGATCGATGCTCGTTATGCGATATATCAAACGAGTCAATATGTCTTAGACCATGCACAATGCACACTCTTCGATTATTTGCAAGCCTATCTTACCGACGATAGAGAAGATAATAGAAAAATGAGCATTTAAAACTCTCACTTGATTCCATATCGCATATGATCTGATCTCAACGATGACACATGGTCGATCATTCCGAACAACAATGCAGGACAAAGAATTAGTTACGCTGGATTACATCGGCAAAATATCACCAATGAACAATTACTCTCTTGGTCTGTATCGATCGATGTGGCTCAGCTTTATAAAATAAATCGTGGCAATATCAATGAAGTTTTCTACAATTGTTCGCCTCTATGGTTCGGTCTACTCTGTCAATATCAATTGATAATATTACATCGGTCTCATTCAGCGACATAATTCGATTGAACTTTGCCAATCGTTCAAACAGCGTGATGAATACCACCACTGTTGCATGTTACTCCTTACTGCCGAATTGCGATCGTGGTCCATGACCACTATGCTTAGATTGGCGTGAAGTTTGTGATCAGAAAATCGATTGTCTCAATGAAGAACATGAATATCAATGTCACTATGACGGTCAGTGCATTACATTCGAATTCCTGCATGTTAAACGACTCAGTATTGATTGTCTACATACCAGTGATGAGGCAGAATTCTACCATGTGCCAAGCTTTCAGTCGTTTAATTGAAAACGTATCAATATTCCGACTTGTCAATGCGAAGAATGTACCGGTCGGCATGTTCGCTCATTCTCCTGTGGTGACGGAGAATCTGTCTTTCGCAATATTATGTCAGCTGCAAGAACTTTCTGTTCGAATCGGCGCAACCATGGATCGACTCGAAATCTTCTCACATCCTTGAATTATATCCTCGATGACCACTATCGACGAGCAATTCTCTGTACATTGCATGACAGTCGCAATTTCGGTAGGGTAGAAAGAGAGAGAAGTTGAACGACAATAATGTTGAGTCAAAGATAGGATTCCTATATTCAATATTTCTGAGCAGAGAATTGATTTTTCGCCTTTAGGCTTCAATAATTGGCATCATGATACGTTGAACATTGAACTAATTTTCAAAGGTACATATGAACCGTTAGCTGTGCATTGCATGACAGAATGGGTTCTTCTGTCACATCAGCCACTCTTCTACTTCACTAATTTATCAGTAACGAAGTTTCAGTAGAATATTGCTCCCGATTTGGTCTGTTTCAAGATTCAACAATGTCCAACGTTATGTTCTTCTTCCATTCAACATTGTCTCGATCATGGAATTGTCTGTTATTGCACTTTCGATCTTTTTGAGCAAGTAGTCATCTATGATTTCAATGAAATGTTCATGGCCTTTACCGAGCTATATCGCCAATGTACTGCGCGTGGAACCGATCGATCGTATGTGAATGCCTAATTTGTTCACTGTCTACAATCCTTGAAATGCATTGCCATCCATCTAGCCGTCGATGGCTTTCCAGATTGTTATTATGGTGAGGATGAAAACTTGTCCGTCTGCTACCTCAATGGTTCTCACCGTTTTGTTTGTCAAGCGAACTCGACGAAATGTTTATCCCCAGTGGCGCTTGGCTATAATTTGTTCGACTGTCCTAGAAAAGAAGATGAGCGATTCTTCATTGGATTGACTTTGAGCAATCACATACCGTTCGCTCATGTTTATGATACTTGAATCGATAGTATAAATCTCAGTCAAAACGAAACAGATGAGACCCATTGTGAATTATGGCTCTGTAATAATGTCTATGCACGTTGCAACAAACTTTGGGATTGTACAAATGGCATCGATGAAGTTGGTTGTTCATACAGCCATTGTGCATCGAATGAACATCAATGTCAAGATTTGACCAACAGTGAACGATGGCATTGTCTACCATTCGAATATATTTTTGAAAACTATCTTGATCAGTGTGTCGGTTCGTGGTATCGACGAGTGATAATTTTTGAGAATAGCACGAATTCAAACAACTCTATCTCTTGGAACAATACTCGCTGTATTACTACCGACCTTTTATGTCGTCGTCAGACTTTATCCACTTTGATCTACAAAGGAATTTGTTTTCGGCAGCCAGATCATTCCTTTCTAGAAAATGATCCTATAATATTGAACAAGAACACGACAAATGGATGCACAGTTATTAGGAACAATTTCAACGGTTATCGTAGTCCGTTCTTCAGACCATCTTGATTGGGATACGTTCTGTAAATCTAAGAAATGCCATCAATTCCTCTAAAACAACGCAGCAATCAATACGAGCCTAGCAAATCGACTAACGATCTTGTCGATAGTTGATTTTGCCACAGTGGTGTTCCTTGTACGATTGGGTGCCAATCACAGTCGACATTGTCTTTGTCCGCCGAGTTATTTTGATGCTCAATGTTAGTGGCAAAGTCAACGGGTCAGTTTGACTCTTCAAATTGTATCACACAATTTTACTGTTACACCGATGGTATTTCAAACTGATAATTATGCTAGTGGATCAATACGGACGCATTGCATCCAACCACGAACAAATTACCTTTGTTCCTACTCTTGACTGTAGCACCAAATTCAATATCTATTTATTGTATCCGAATCGACCTAAAACGAGTCGTTTAGCTATTCCATTCATATTGATAGTTTTGAGCGAATTACGATGACCTATTAGGCCAGTTGGTTTGTCCTCATTGCATTTCCATTTCGGCTAGTCAATCAAATAGTGTCACAGTTACTCATTCCTAGTCGACAACAAACTGATTGGTGTTCTTTGTCATGTGGACACCATCGTCGACGCGTTATATACGTCAATCAAAAGTCTCGATACTTCTGTCAATGCCATCCAGGTTTTTCAGGTTTCACACGCCATGAGACTCATATCTGTTATTGCTCGAATGATTCAATCTGTCTCTCGTCGACAGCCTGTGTATATTCGCTAGACATATTCGGTTCTTAATGTTATGTCAAACGATTGATCTACAATGGAAATGATAACCTTTATCAACATGAAGAACACTGTTTACCAAGCGATGATCGTATTGCTTTGAAACCTGTCACTTGTCTCTGTACGTTCAACTATTCGAGCGAACGATGCAAACTCAAGAATACACATATTGAAATCCATAGAGAAAAAACAATGGAGAGCACAAACTCGACGCCACTTATTCGTGTTATCACCGCCTTCAATGGATCGAAACATGAACCAACAACCATTTGAAAAAAAAATAGTCTTCAATCAACACAAAATAACCCTTTATATTTCTGAAACATTTTATCTACTCTTTGTAGAATTAAACAACTGACAGCACTATTTGATCAGTGTTCGAGAAACTCTCATCCCTTCAGAATCTATTCAAGTTATGACCGGTTCAAAACAACGTTGTGCAAAGATTAATGAAGTTCTCGACTGGACCATTCTCAGCTATGAATCACTTTTCCGCATTAAATAGTATCCTCTTGTATGCGGAGAGAAGTCTATGTTAATGTGTTTTTACAACGAAATCTATATGTGTGTGTGATCTGGGTCGATTTTCGAATTGTTTCGATTTCTATAAGGATCGATCATACGATTGTCAAGGCTTCAACGATTGTCAGAATGGCAGTGGATGTTTTCAAAACAATCAAACATGGGGGACAATGCCCATGCGGTTATGTTCAGAATGTTTCTTCGAAACAAAATGTGAATTTTCTACAAGAGCATTTACGCTCACCCTCGACCCGATGCTCGGCTATCATATCAAACCGAATGTACCGTTCGATCGTCAACCATTGGTGGTCAAGTTTAGTGCAATCCTTGTTACATTAATGGCAATAGCTGACTTTATTAATGGATTTCTATCGATTTGGACTTTTCTCAGTGCCTATTCAAAAGAGATCGGTTGTCGTTACTATCTCATCATGTCATCGATACTATCAATGTGTACTATTGGTATGTTAGCAATCAAAGTTTGGCTTTTGATTTTCTCGCAAATGTCGTGGATT